TTTAAAAAAATGATGACCCTCCATAAATTTATATAGTTTAATAACAGGCCTGTTTATATACAGAGCCCATCTGCATACTCTTGGAGATTAAATACAAAGTTATAAAGGGGAATTACAGATGGCTGTGGAATTTCTCAGGATTAGAGAAGCAAGAATGTTTTAGATGTAAGCACACACGTTTGTGAAGTATTATATGGGACCTTATGCAGTTTCTGTTAAAGTTAATTGGGTTTTTTGATACTGAAGAAATTGTACTATACTGAGGTTCTTGTTACATTTAGAAGCATGTCTTATTTTCTTCAGAAATTGTGTGTATCTCTTCAGCATTTTCTGATTACAGTCAGCCTTGATGGTGTATATGTTGTTAAGATAAAGATTGAAACAGACATTTTTAAATGGGGTTGTAAAGCCTAACTTTGTGGATACATTTATTTACAAGAACAAATAGTAGTACATGTGCATCTTGATGATTATACCTGCAAATTGGTAATTGGCAATCTGCTTTTCCCTGTGTGATTTGGGAATACAAAATTTCCTTCCCCTTTAAAAAAAAAAAAGAAAAAAAATACAAAAATACTTTAACAATCTTAATCAGTAACATAGCACTGAGGCTTTTCCATTGCTTCAACACATACCTGGGTAGGAATGTGTTTTGGGAGGCAAAAGGTTTAGGAAAGGATCTAGTTGCCCTAACTGAAACCCCTTGGGTATGTTGCTAACCTATCAATTTTTCTAGATCTGGACTGAGTGCAGAAAGAGGCATTCTTGTTAGTATGCTACCTCTAAAAATGTTTGGACTTATTACATTTATTGATTGCATGTCATTTCTTGTAGGATGAGTATCTTGTTTTGCTGCTGATAAAAATTAAGACTTCAGCCCTGCCAGTACTATTCCTCACTCTATAAAGGAGACAGCTTTTGCAACCAAAGTTTTAAAGTATTGTATAATTTGAAGTAATAAAGGGAATTGTGATGATTATTTTATGCTTGTGGAATATTTTGAGACCTTATACTGTGGGCTGCATATAACATCAGAAACTCAGACTGCTGCAAATTATTCTTTAAATACTTAGACAGTTCTTCTACAACAGCTGAATTGCCATAGCTCCATGGAAACACAGGATCCATCCTTCTTTCTTGATCATCTGAGTACTTACATAGGGGTTCTATTTACTAGTCAGTATTTACACCTTTAGTCTAGACTGCAATAGGAAAGCACCAGGATTGGTAGGTAGTATGTTGCATAATACACAAATATGATGGAACAGTAAAAAATTAAACTTTAAAAAACGTATATTTAAACCAGTTATAATCTTATAACCCATTGTGAGATACCATTTGCCGTCCTTTCCTCCATAGACTGCCATGCTTTAATAGAGAAAAATATTCTAATAGAAGTGTTTAGATGTACACATTTCATGACTTGTGCTGGAATGTTCCTGATGCCCCTGTGAAAGGATATAGCTGTTCATACTGTGGGGCTGAGGGGTTTTTTAGTATTTTCTTAGTTTATTTCTGTAAACATTCCAGAGACATCTTTTAAAACTAATTTTATAAAACATTCTATAAAGCTAACGGAATGTGTTTAGGAAAACAAAATAATCCCCCAAGCTATGTTGATTCTGTGTCATTTGGGGTATGTGTCTTACAAGTTACGTTGATTACCAATGTTCTTTTGAAGGAAAGTGAAGAAGAACTTTATTCCTCATGTCGGCAACTTCGAAAGCGCCAGGAGGAGCTTAATAACCAGCTGTTCCTTTATGACACCCATATGAATTTAAGGAATCCTAACAGAGATGCTATATTAAAAGAATTCAGTGTGAATGAGCACAAACTACAGATTTATCAAGAGACATGCAACCGCAGGTGGGTTGATAAACATTCTCCTTTCCATGGCAGCTTTATCTAGACATGATTTATGGTAAGGAAATCTCAGATTTTTCAAAACGAGCATCTAAAGAGTGATGAGGGTAGAATGAGCATATCTGAAGCAAGGAAGGGCTGCAGTGAAGCAAGGCTGGGCTGCAAGCCACTAGAGGCCAGCAGATGATGGGAAATGTCTGCTCAGTGAAATCTTAGTTTCAGTGATCACAGTGAAACATGTAATTCTGTGAGTTTATATTCCTCTCTTCTTCTTCCTTCTATGAGGAAAGCCTGGAAGTTGTATATATTTCAAATAAACAAACTACCTCGCTCCTTCTACACTGTCAAAGTTATGTCCCTGGAAATGCTGTTACCATGTTAGATATGTGGGAACAGAAGGTGCTTCCAGATACACAAACCACAAAAGATAAAAACAGTACTGAGTTGGAACAGCATAGAATTGTCAGTTAAGTGTCAGTACATTATCCAAAGCTTAGGGGAAGGATCTTTCTCCTTTGCTGCCACCTTTGGGCTGGTTGTGAGGGGGACAGACAGTACCAGGAGGATGTCCTGAGTAGGTCTCAGGATGGGACAGGAGGAAGACTTTTCTTTAAATATTTTTACTCTTTTTTATGTGTGTTGAACAGCTATATGAATCACTGGTTTACTCCCATTTTATTGAGGAAAAAAATAGTGATGCTTGTTGCTAATACATTATTCACCATTCATATTGAGTAAATTGAACTTGGTAGGCTGTTTTCCTCTGAGAAGTTCCTAGTAGACTTGACTTTTTCCTTTTTTTTTTTTTCCCTTAAGATTAAAGGAGAAGAAAGTCAGTAACAGCAAGTTCTACTCGTAAAGCAATCATTCTTTGATGCATAGTTTACGGTGCAATTCAGGAAGAGATATTAATTTATCCTGGCCATCCTACTCAGTGATGGTCTCATCAGACTGCATGACTGGAAGAAGAAGAGGAGGAGGAGGAAAGATGGGTTTCCTTAATAATCTCTTGTTAAAAGAAAAACTGTTTTAATTTCTAATAATTTATATTCTGTGCAAAGCATACTCTTTGTGCAGGCCAGACCTTCTATGTATTCAAGATTTTTAAAGTTGAGTGCATGTAGTTGGATAGACCTCACTTCCATTATCAATACCTGAAGTACAAGTATAAATCATCTACTAAATTTGTGTACGCAGGCTATAGATAAGACATTCACAATAATTTGCATGCATGGAATCACACCACTTTAACAACCCGTCGCCTTAAGATTAACTGGTAGTGAGTTTTTAATTTATTACGTGCTGTAAAAGCACTTCTACACCAGCATTGTCGTGTCATGTATGTTACAGTGCCCAAGGCAGCACATTGTACTTCTGATACTGCATCAAGTGTTTTGGGCAGCTGATAGCTCATACCATATTGTCTCTTTAAAGTTTTCTGTTATGTTTTTGAGAACTAGATAATATGTTAATTTTGTTGAAACCAAATATTTTCTGTGACTGTAGTTGTGTTTTTCCTGTTGAACTCTCTGTAAAGGTTTAAGAAAGGAACAATGTGTGAACCTGTGTTCATAGCCCCTATGAACCTGTGTTCACAACCTCAAGGCACTGGAAGGAAAAAGTTTTAAGATATGTGGTAGGAAGTATCTGTCTACAGAATGGAAAGGTATTTCAAATTCTGAAAAGCATTTACTTTGGTATAATATTTTGCAAACCCTTTCAGCTGTTAATGTGCTTGGAAATTATTTTTTTTTTCATGAACTGTCCATTTTTAATCTTGCAATCCTACTTAGATGATAATGTCAAATGAGTGTTCTGTAAATGTAGACTGTTTTCCCAAGATATATCTAATCCAAGAATGATAGTATGCACAAATATAGAGGTACATTGTTGTTATGGCTTTAATGAAATGAAGAACATGGAGCTACAGATGAGAAGACTTGTTAGATTAGCAAAAGTGTTTTCCTCCCAGAGCGTAACTGAAGTCCTTCAATGGTATATTTAACACCAGTTGTCGTAATCTGTGTTTGTGTTGGTTCTTTGTGCTAGCACTATGTTATTACTATCAAATTCCTAGTTGCTTTATCTTGACATGGGTGGAGTTTTGCTACCTGTATGCCTGACTTTAGCTTTTAGATGTGTGCAGAGGAGTTAAGATTTTCTAAGTGACTGCCTGAGGCATAAAATGCTGCATACATAGTGCTGTCTTTCTGATCACAGAAAACTTGCATGGATTTGGGATTCATGGCCTGATGAAGCTGCCTCAGCAATTTTCAGTTTCTCTTGCTCCCCACGCTGTGACTTCTGTTGCTTCAAGAGGCGCTTAATTGATGTCATTGTGCATTCACAGATGATGGTTTGAGGAACCCCCTTGAGGTTTTAGTTATTCTGTAAAGAGTCCTGTCTTGAAGATGAAAGTGCTATAATAGTGTGTCCCACAACAGGGTGGCTTCTGTAAATTTTTTATTATAAAGAAATTAATTACTAATCACCCAACTGGAAAAGAGAACAAAGTTAAAGACAATTCTCTGCTTTTTCTTCCTCCTACCTGAAATCTCTTCAGTACCTAGTTGTAATTGACCTCTTCAAGGATTAGATGGGAGCAAACCCTCCTTCAAACAAAGAAAAAAAATCACATCAACTGTGGATTTGGGAGGTGGAATTGTAACCTAGACTGCTGTGTAAAGCTGGGCTTATTGCAGTGTCCAGGTGTAACGGGATGATCCAGTTTGTGGTCCTTGAGGTGGAGGACCTTTGGCACACATGTGTTTTGTAGAACGTTCCAGGATGTGGTTAGTTTCATTCAACAACCTCCATGATTCCCATTTAATGGAACATTGTGTTGTCCATGTTGATGAGACAAGGTGGCCCAAAGCCTTGTCTGGAAGGTCCTGAGGTTGTTGCTACAGGTGGGAGAGGATTTATAGGCAGCTGAGTACCAGCTAGGTTTGGATTGATAACAAAAAATAGGAGACTACAAGATGCTAGGACTTAGGGAGATCAAACTCCAGAGCTCAAGGCAGTTGCTGTGGTGGGTTTTTTGTTCAATTTTGTGGGGACTTTGGGGG